AGGGAGGGGGAGTTTGGTTCTTTCTTGCCTCTCTCGCTCGCTCTCTCTCCCTCTCGCTCTCTCTCCCTCTCTCTCTTTTGGAAAAAAAAAAGCAAAATAGCGAAGTCCTGGGGAAAGGCGAGGCAGAGAGTAAAGGGGGGAGGGGGAGGCTGAGCCGACGAGCTGCCCGAGCTACAGCTCGAAGATGAAAAAAGATTTTAAAGCCTCTGATCCAGCAAGAAGAGTTTAAAGCAATTGCTGAGTTTTATAGCACTCGTGACGTCAGGTCCAAATGGGAAATTGACTGGCACTCCGGGCCAATGGGAGGCGGCGAAAGCGGCCGCGATTAGCATAATAGTATAGAAACAAGGAAACTTTTCGGAGCTGTCAATCAGGACCCAATCAGCTGACTGTCAGCTGGGACGGGCTGGCTTAACCCTTCCCGCGCCGCAGCCTCCCAGGGAGGGAGCGAGGCCCGGCGTAAAGTTTGGGGTAACCGGGGAAGGAGTTTTCCAGAGGGGCTTCGGGAACCCGGGCGGATCCGGGAGGACGGTCTGCTTTTCTTTGGAGATGGCGCGAGGCTTGCCTTCCCGAGCCCCAGCCCGCCGGCCTTTCTCTCCTCTGGGATTGGCCCGACGCTCTTTCCCCTGCCTGCGCCCCACTCCAGGGTGCTGCATTCGCCTCCCCGGCTTTTTACCCCCTCTCCGCCTTTGGCATCCAGGTGTCTGCCTGGACGACTTTCCTTCCTCCAGTCTGGCTGTGCCTGGAGCCCAGACTTGGCCCCAACTCTTTGTCCCTCTCCGGGGCGCCCGTGCGGGGAAGGAATTAGGGGTGGTGGCGGCGGCGGGGATGCGCTAGGGTCCCCGAGCCCGGAGAGCGCGCGGGACGCCGCCCCGCCGCGCGCCTGCCAGGGGGGCTCCGAGTCCGCGGAGAGCGAAAGCCCGCGTTATCGCCCTCTTTGAAAAGAGGTACCGTAAGTCGTGTAGGGGCCGTTCTTCGCGGGAACCGGCTGCCCGCGGGCGTCGCGTGCCCTTGGATGGAGCGAGCGCCCATGCGAGCTAACTCCCCGGAATTGCTCAGAGTCAGGTCAGCCGGGTGCAGCCCTCGGGCTCCAGACTGTGGCCTGAGTTTGGCCTTTGAGATTCATATTTCTCTCTCTTTCTTTCCCCCCCCCCGAATCACCCATCCCCTTGTGAAATCCGACCTCTGTTTATCACGGTCGGGCGCGCCCTTTGCACTTTTACGTTACACTTAATTATTTCGGACTTGATCCTGGCAGGTAACGTGGGGGAGGGAGGGGGTGGCAGGAGAACGATACCCCCAGCCCCGCTGACCAGCTCCCCTCGAAGGGTTAAATTTTAAACAGCGGTTTCTCGGACGAACCCGGAAACCCAGAGTGGGGGTGTGATGGGGGAGCTGAGTCTCCCCCTCCCCGTTGCAAATGCTAATAATGTGTTCGGTGTTCTAGATCGATTCTGCTAAAGCTTATGAAAAAGCCAAAAGAGAGGAAAGAAAGAAAAAGCAAAGAAACAGAAAGAAACAACTCTGTTTCTAAGATTTTAAAGCGATAGGCAAGTCGCAGAAACCGAGATTTATTGGGAAACGAGAGTGCGTGAAGCCGACCCGGCAATTTGGAACACCAGCCCGCCTGCTTGGACATTGGGACTGCTGATTCCTCCAATTAATGAAATGCATTCAGTGTTAATCGTATTTATTTTACTTTATGGGAGGGGGAGACGCTAGGAGCGTGCATTAAAAAAAAAAAAAAAGTCTGAAAAGCCTGCAAAAGGATCGAAGAGTGAAAACTATTGTGGGACCGAGTTGGTTTTTGCCTCAACAGCGCCACCTTTCGGCAAAGGTCAGTGGAAATCGATCCGTGTCCCGTTTTGTTGATAAAGTGAAATGAAGCTGCTTTCCCAAGGTGGGAGGAGGAAAGAGGCACACAAAGTTATTTGGGCTGAAGTGGGAGAACCCGACCCTGTAGGAAAGGGCCCTAAAGCAGTGCTGGCAGATGCATGAATGACTTTTTCCCCCTTCTTGCCCTCCTTGATGGTTGACAAAGAGGCCGGGGAGCACAGACGCCCTCGGGGTATAATTCTGGCCGCAAGACCTTCGCCAGTGGATCCCATGTAACAGGGCCCCAAACCCTTTAAAAGTGCCGGGATAGATTTTCAACGGGCTTTATGGAAATATCAATAGAATTAAAGTTACTTGTAATTCAGTGATAAATGAGATGTCTCTAGTAAGTAAGATTAAGTGCAGTGCCATAAAGTTGTTTATCTGAAAAGTAATTCTCAGAAAACCTGACTTCTGACACTTAGTCATATATTAAGCCAGCTTTTTGAACATTGCACTTCAGAATGGTTTGACCCACCCCGCAGCATACTTGACTATTTATAACAAGATCTTAGGTGTCTCTCACTCATTCCACACACCAGATGAGACCTGTGTTAATTTCTCGGATCTGGTAGCCTCCCTTTCAGCAAACCCACACATCTCTGATCGAAGCCCCCTCCCCCAAAGATTTGTAGGCACATCCTAATCCTAACAGGTAGAGCTTTGGGTATTTTCTAGACATGTACTTTTTATTTTCATCATCACTGCAGAGAAGTTGTTTATAAGGGTAATTTTGGTTTTATAGGAGCACTTTGTTGGGTGAAATAAACTGTCTATTACCAGTTTGGAAAAGAAAGAGTGAATATTATGTCAATATTTATGCAACCTAGCAGAATTCCCTTGCTTTCCTCCTCTCTAACAATATTTTACCTAGTAATGAAGTTAAGGGATTATAGTTTATGTATTCAGAGGAAAATCCACTGCTTAAATTACATAAACATTATGTCATTTAGCATTGTCCATGGCAATAGTTTTCTAGGTCTTTTAAAAAGTCTGTAGCCACAAATGCCTGAAGTTTATGTTTTTCATGTAAAATATAAATTTAAATGCATTTATCAGGAATTGGTTTTTTTGTTTATGATACTTTTCAATCCTTTTGCGTCACATTTTTGTTAAAAGTTGTAAGGAGTGATTACTGCCTCTCCAAAAAATTATTTTTGGCCGGGAGCATTGAAACTCCTACATTTATAAATAAGCAATATTTTATAAGTGAAGTTTGCTAATGACGAAGTGCATGCCATATAAATTCATGGCCAAGTACCTCATTGTTGCATTGTTATATATCATTTCTAGAAATCAAATGCCCATGTTTGGGCAGCTAAATGTATTATCTGCACATTTTTATGGTTTATTTTTGTACTCTGCTGTCAAACCATAGTGTTTTTCTTTCTCTCGTTGCAGAGGCTTTTATAGTTTCCGATTTTCTCTTGAAATAAAATAGAGGATCAGAATTATTCTTTCGATGTGTGACAGTAGTGCTCTTAGGCTTATAACTTAATTCTCATTTTTGTCCCTTTTCCTTTATTATTTAGTGATTCACCAGGAGTGTCTAAACATTTACAGTTCCCTGTTAGCAGCATTTTTTTGCTAACAATTGAGCTCCCTCATTTTAATTAGTACTATTCAGGTTTTTGATTCTCTGCAATTATAGTGGGCCACATTTCTTTAGACTTCTTTGCTAACATTGTTTGTTTCACTGCTATCCAAGCCAATCTAATCCAAATACAATGTGAACTGTGTTTTCTTACTGCTTAACATCCCTTGCTATATATACTCTCGTAATCTCTGTAGAACAATATACAGTAATTTAGAAACCATGGGTTTGTCATTATTGACCAATTCGAACCAGCAGCATTAAAGTTTCTGAAAGCAATGAATATTTATAGAAGATTTTTGAGGGGGAGGAGGGCATGGGTCGAATCACGTAGAATATTGTGAAACAGTAACATAAAAAACACAATTGTAGTTTCATGTCAGTCCATACATAGCAACTTCATCCAAAAATGAAAAACAAAGCCCTGTTCATGTCCAAATGACCAAGATTAAAAGCTAACAGGAATATATTTTTTCATGGTTGTGAGTTATAGCCAGTCAAGTACACCATGTAGGAATTGGATATATGTAATCTGAATAGGACAGGATACATCAAGTGTAGTATCTGAACTCTCTGTTTATCTAAGAGCTGATTTTATGGTGCAGAACTAACCAGTGTCCAGTAAATTTCACTCCAAAAGCAACTCAATTGATTTGAGAAAGAGTTCTTCGGAGTAACTGAATGATAAGGCATACCCTGTTCTTAGGTCTAGTGTAAGATAAATCCTTTTAACTGTCTTCAGTTAGCACGGTAAGTAAATCACAAATCACTGTTAGCAGTTTCATGGAAGAAAATTAATAGAATCAGACGAGATAATCTGATAAGGGTAAAATTGCTGAGGAAACAGTCTTGCCTCATATTGGAGGATGTGAAACAACAGTCTGATTACTAGGAGTCGTTATGAATAGGTGAATTATGTGCTAAATAATCATCAGAGTAATTCAGCATTTATTAATTCTTTTCTCTTTAAGCAGTTCACAGTTGTAAGTTAAAGCCGCTCTCTCTTTGAAGACACATCTTTTATAATTTTTATTAGAGGTAATT